TCATTTACTCGTCATTCCATTTACTTGTTCAAACATAATAAATAAACAGGAAATCTGATATGTAGTAGCCTAAGTGGTAAGTATAAACAAGATTTTGTCACAAGTGAAAGAATGCTGTGACGTGGGATTTGAGTTACATACAACTAAATGCTGCGTTCAGGAAAAACTATAGACAAGTGATTGAACAATGTTCATTTAAATAAAAATTATATTTTTTATATATCCAATTTAACCTGAAATAATAATCTAATGCAAAAACAAATTTAAAACCCAATTTAAAAACTACCGTTAAAAAATAAAAATTTAAGCTAGGAATTGTCTATCAAATTAAAGTGATTCCTAAAGTTAAAGCTGGAATGAGTATTTGTTGAAATTTTCTAACAAAGGAATGTCAAGTAGGACAAGGACTTTGATTTCAAGTAATGGAAAAATGACTCCGTCAACAAATCTTATAGCCTAGTAGGCCTACAGGCGCTAGGAGCAGTTGAGTATGCATGAAAAGAGTCAGAGATTTTGACTTTTGATTTTGGTAATTGGAGCCTAGGTGAGTGTAAAAACTCATGTCGTCGCCTCCAGGGGTGGTCGACTACTTAGGGGTGGGGGCACAAAATTCACAAAAAACGTTAATCGGCAAACCACTTTTAACTACCTTGTTATTGAATGTAAGTAAAACATTCTTTGAAATTGACTTTTTATTTTGGTAATGTGGGTCTAGGTGAGTGTAATAACCCATGTCGTCGCCTGCAGGGGTGGTCGACAACTTAGGGGTGGGTGCGCAAAGTTGCATGTGCATATACTATACAGCCGCAAATGTAACTGACTCAGGTATACAAATGTTTGAGTTTTCTAGAAGTGCTAGAAAGTTGAAATTTGGCACGCTTCTTGGTCTTGGGCCCAAACACCCCTTATGGGGAATAGCATTCAAAGTGGTCGACTTCATGTGCTCATCTGAACCGTATAGAAACGTGCTAGAGACTTGAAATTTTGTAGTATTGTAGTATGGGATCTTAAATTAAAGGTTAAATTTGCAAGTACCATTTTCAAATTTTAACCCCCTAAAAAATCCAAAATGGCTGACACCTAAATAAAAAAAAAAACGGGATTTTAACGGCTATAGATCTAAAGCGGTAAGAGCGAAAGAAGATTTGAAAGAATTCTCTTGGTCAGTAATTAAATTTTATACAAAGCACTATTAAGCGTTTTTCAAAAGACACTCTTTCACCTTCAAAAAACGGCCTATTTTCAAAATTTGGTAAATTTCTTTCAAATTTATTACGATTTTCGCTATTTTTTTCTACTTAAGAGATTTCTTTTGCAAATATTATTAATGCTTTGTATTTAACTTAGTTTACTTTAAATTCCACTCATTACATGTTTTTTTCGTAACTTTACTCCTTGACCCCCAAAACGTTTAATGTCAAAATTTTAAAGGTTTTTACCACTTTTATGAGCTCCATGTTATTCTTATGGAGAATAAGTATGATATTTAATGACTTTGGTATGCTTATCTGATTTGTTTAGAAACGAGATAGAGACTTTAAATTTAGTCCGGGCGTCAGCTAGGGGGACCTGGAAATTTGGGTGGACAAAGGTTTTTTGACTGATTCTGACTCAGTTTTGTGCGCTGATTACGAATATGCCGGGTGCCACCTTGGCACCCTTGGGCAAACGCCGCCATATTGGAAAAATGGCGGCCAAAACTTGTTTTTCGATAAATACTTGAAAACGGTTAGTTTAAGAGATATTTATGTGGAGACATAAAATGTAGAGCGTAAAAAACTACACAGAAATGGTATCAACACTTGTTTGGTAAACCTCACGGTTTTAGCACAATCTTGTGAAATTGAAGTTATTATTAACATAAAGTTGTAATTTAGTGCCAATACCTATGACATATTACATCCATTCTTAAAAAACTGAATTATATTAAGCAATACACATTTGTACAAGTAACCTTTGTTAAAAATAATTGTTATTAGTGCCTTCAAGACCACCCCCCCACATCACACTCGCCCCAAAATAATTACACAGTACATTCTCGTACTCCCCCAATCTGCAGGTAACTTACTGTGAGAATCTCCTGGTTTATTTTAACACGTTCGCTACTGCAATAGTACGAAATTTTTCATTCTCGTGGACCAGCGACGCACAATAGACTGCCGTCGCATATATGCGTCGGCTAGTCACATTAAAATAGACTGTCGTCGCATATTTGCGTCGGCTAGTCACATTAAATAGACTGTCGTTGCATATTTGCGTCGGGGTTCTAATGTTATTAGAGAGAAAATTCTTTATTTATTACACACTGTTTTACAGCAATAAATACAAAAAATAAAAATATCACATGGGTCACAAAGACCTGTGCGTGATATATATTAAATAAATATATTAATATATTTAATTAATTAATTTAATTAATATATTTAAATATATTAAAATGCTTATATCTTTGTAACGGTCTATTTGAAGGCACTGAATTCCCTGCAGTGGTCTACAGAGATGTCTGACGCACAACTGCGTCGCTTGGTCTGCGGATATGATGATTGGTGACGTCATATGATAGTTGGAAAAACTGGTCTTTACTTTTCTGCATCATTGTATGTATGTATGCAGTATGTATGCTGCATTATCCTATGTAGCTTTTATATTTGTTCAGTTATAAACTGTTCTTGATCAATCAGTTTTTTTATTCTACTTATTTTTACCTCAAAACAGGGGAACGAGCTGGCGTAGTGGTTAGAGCGCGGGACTTCAGTCCCTGAGGTCCCGGGTTCGATCCCCGCCAAGTCACCAATGGATTTTATCTAAGTGATAATGCCGCAACCCCTAGGTCTAGCCTGAAGTAATGTGAAAAACAATCCCAGGCTCGTGCCTAGCGTCCTTAGGACAAAAAAAAAAAACCTCAAAACACAAAAAATGAACTGTCGCATATATGCGACGTTTGGTCTATTTTAAGTTAACTATGATAATTTTCACTATTGTCTTCGCTGTAGACCGGGCGTCGCATATGCGACATAACAAAAGGTTATTAATAATACAAAAAAACAAGAATACATTATTTACAAAAACGATTGTAGCGTATTTCAATGTAAATGATCACTGTTTTACAGGTTTTCGCCCGTAGTCTGTGTGTACTGTTATCCAAGTGACAGCCGGTCTGTGTGTAAGATTCAAACGTATACCTCGGTCTGTGGCAATAACCGCGGAGTAGCATATATGCGACGCTCAGTAGCGAACGTGTTAAGCAACAATAGCACTTATTGGTGTGATGATAAAAGAAAAATACAGGTACAGTTACAGATTCATATTTAAGTATTTTAAATAATGGAGTTATTACATATAGCTGAGAAGTCGCTTGAGGTTTTAGCTTGAGTCATAAAAGGCATGCTGTGGGTTTGGCGTAAGCAATTATAGCAACAGCCGCTGATGCTTTAAACCGCCGAGCCTTACTGTATGTACAGGTTACACCAAATTTTGTAGTTCATTGATCAGTTCCTTCTTATTTAGCAGTAATGATAATGCTATTTGAATTGTAGTGTTTTGTTTAGTCAATATCAAAGTATCAATGATACCTATCATCAAGGAAGGTAGACCAGTTAAAAAAGTGTAGACATCATTTCTGTGTAGTTTTTTACGCTCTACATTTTATGTCTCCACATAAATATCTCTAAAACTAACCGTTTACGAGTATTTATAGAAAAACCAGTTTTGGCTGCCATTTTTCCAATATGGCGACGTTTGCCCAAGGGTGCCAAGGTGGCACCCGGCATATTCGTAATCAGCGCAAAAAACTGAGTCAGAATAAGTCAAGAAACCTTTGTCCACCCAAATTTCCATGTCATCGTTAATTACAATGGGTCAACGCCCAGACTAATTTGATAGTATTGTAGTATGGGATCCTAACGTAACGGTGAAATTCCCAACAGTCCCATTTAAAAATTTTTACCCAACCAAAAATCTAAAATGGTGGATATCCAAAATCGAAAAAACACCTTTTTAAACGGCTATAGAAAAACGGTAAGAGCTACAACAGATTTGAAAGAATATTTTTTTTATTATTAATGCTTTGTACTCTCCTTAGTTTACTTTAAACTTAACTCATTACCTGTTTTTTTTGTAGCTTTACTCCTTCACCCCTAAAATGTAAGTTTAATGTCAAAATTTGAAATATTCTAACAATGTTACGAGGCTATAACAGTTTCCCATTTTATTCTTATGGGAAATAAGCTTGAAAGTGACTTAATTCGGTGTTAGTTTCTTAGCAATTTAGAAACGTGATAGATACTTGAAACTTTAACCCCTGGAGGCTAAACATACATGTCTTTTTACTCACCAAGACCCCCATTACTAAAATCAAAAGTCAATTTAAAAGAATCTTGTATTTACATTCAATAACAAAAAATAAAAGATAAGGTCAAAATCTCTGACTCTTTTCATGCATACTCGACTGCACCTAGCACCTTGCCTAATAGTATAACATAAGCTGTTGTTTGATGTGCAATTTATACTTAATACTTTAATACTTTTATTACTTTTCAATGAAATGGCAATTTATATGTAGCCTATAGGGTGAATAGTATTGCATTTGTAGGACCTATTTAATAAGTGGGGCACTTTCATTGCCCAACCTGTACATCAAAGTCATCTCCTTCGATCCTGATTTAGTTACTTTATGCGATTGCGTAAAAAGGGAATTTGAAATTAAATCTCTCATGTTGGTGTTTGATCCAAATTCCAACCAAACCTAAATATTTTTACATACATTGTGTTTGTGTATCAATGGACAAAATATAAATGTATTAAAATAATTAAAATGTATTTTTAAATTTAGCCAGGCTCAGTTAAGTCTCGGTCCGCAATAAATGCAGACTATATCAGCCGTCCAAAAACATTGCAAAATATATGCCTAAATGAGTGCTTCTGCAAACATGTGCGATTTGATTTTTTACTTGAAAACTAACTGTACGTCTTATGATTCATTACAACCATTACATACTTACACCAAAACAGACATCAGCTGTTTTAAGTTTTGGAATGTTTTCTATAATATCTTCAAAGAACTCGCAGAGAGAGTCTAGTGTTTCAGAACACACATTTTCAAATGTAGCCGAATCAACCTCCCTGAAAACATAATGCGATTTGGAAATATATTAGCAGCTACAAATCACTATTATTTGACTTTGCTGAGTTTCAAAATGCAATACAGTGATATTGGTAATGATCTAACAATCGGTAGTTGCAGGATGCAGTCCCACCTTACAGCACAATCGTATTACATTGTAGGTTCTACCTCTTGTAAGGATTTCTAGATTCATTAACAGGGGTACTATGTTAAAAAAAAAACAGGCATAGTAGGGCCTAAAATAAATGAATAATCTCTGTAGCTCGAAGGTGTATTTAACCACAGACTAGGGAACAAATGTTTTGTTCCCTAGTCTGTGATTTAACACATCTGAACGTCCCAGAGACAATGAAGGTAGCCCTAAGGTTGGGTTAAGTTCTGTCTGACCCAGAAAAGGCATACTGTACCTAGGCTATCTAGGGAGTAAAGAACGTACTATAACGGTAGGAATAACGGTTAGGAATTGAAAAAAAAACGTCTAATGTAAAAGTTTTAGATAGTTTGAAGAACTTCATTTTATTAATTGAAAATATTTCCCTCCGATGCTCAGTTTTCGAGGTATATGCGAAAAACCCAAAATTTGAGGACTCCACACAGGCAACATATAGGTCTATATGAGCCAGAAAAGACAAAAATATCAACGATTTTATAGCACAATTATAAAAGTGACATAAATTATGTGCCAGAAGGAAAAAAGTTCCTGTAGGGCCTATAAAAAATATGAAGGGCAAAGAACCTATGATAGTTATATTATTGGATGAAATATTAGTTTGATACCGGTATAAATAAGTTACCAATTAAAAGTATTTCCATTCCATATAAATATTTAAAATATGTTGAGGATCTTTTGGAAAAAAGCCTCCTGCTGTTCTCTTACAGCGTGCTGCAACACAGAAGTAAAATACAGAGGAGACATTCAATGGTAGGCCTACACTTAAGTCATGTCTAGCACTAGCCGCTTGTGTCTAGTGGAAATTCTATTGGTCCCCTTCCGCTCTCCTCTACCACCTGGCCATCTCCCCATCAACGCTCACACTGTAGGAAGAGCCTGTGCGCTACAACCGTTGTTGTAAACAATGGCCGTTTGGGCGTTTCCTTGCTCTGTATTTCCACCCCACCATTCCAGAGCCAACAAGTATAATATTACAGTGGCGTAACAAATTTTTACGGGCCCCCCTGCAAACTTATTTTTTGGGCCCCCCTCTCATGAGTTATTTTTAGACCACCGATATGACATAGTGAAACGCCACCCCTCTCCCCCCCAGAGTTATTTTTGGACCAACGATACAATGATCAAGCAGATTAATCATAAAAAGAGTGGTAAATAAATTATGAGTTATGTTCCATAAAAGGGTGTGTTAAGTATTTCAGTTGTGGTTTGATAACAATGTTACATCACTACATCATTATATCAATATCAGTGTGTGTAAATAGTTTTGAAATCAAATAAAAAAAACCTTATTTTCCATCGTATCAGAATGTTTCAAGGAGGTTTTACATTTAATTTATCACACATGTTATCCATTTTTATTACCCTGATAATTAGACTAATTTGTTACAAGGCAAAAATGTGGTTCGAATTCACCTATAAACTGTAGGCCCCTTAGTTGCCTTTGGCTGTATTGGCTATTAATTAACAGCTGTGTCTAAGGAATATGTCGGCCTTAGTCTCTTTCAGCACTAAAAGGTTGGGCCACTCGTCCTACACTCATCTCCATTAATTCTTGGCTTAATATACCTACATTGGTATGGTCGCCATTTCAAAGTAAAGTATTAAAGCATTAATTTATTAGGTTAGTTTAATCTTTGGTTATAATTAACTCATACACTAATAGTTGGTTAATTTAATAGATTGACATACTTTTATCACAGGCTAAAATAGCCTATTGCATTTTTTAATTTTATCTTTGTATGGATGTCAAGCGTGTTTAACTTAAAACAAATGTCTTTAGTATTGGTTAATTTTGAGGTAAAATAAGATAAGGGCTAACAAACACAGCCAGTAGAGTAACTTAGCAGTATTTTGTATTTAACAAAACAGGCCTACAATCAATATTAGGGCAAAACTAAAATGTAAAATAATACAATATTAAAAGCCCCAGCCAACGTTCATGACTCCAGGCTCCAAAGTAACTTAATGTTTCAAAATGTTTGCAGACGACATATAAGCAGTGTACGAAATCACCGAGAAGTAAAATATTTCTCGGTGACAAAAGTAAGATTGCATAATGATCAAAGACCCACGTTATAACACGTTAAATTTGTAAACCTAGTTCGTTATCACTGAAGAGGCCTAACAAAATTAAATGATAACGGATAACAACATATTATTAATGACATTAATGTTATTACTTGTTCAATACAATTATTGAATGATTGATAATACATTTAAATAAGAATGAGCTCCAATTTTTCGGCCCCACTCGTCTCACGGGCCTCTCTGCTCTCCGTTTCCTGCTCACCGGTTCGCGGGCCCCCCCCCCGCGCATTGCGGGCCCTTCTGTTACGCCACTGTAATATTAGGCCTACCTTTTACCTGAGCAATGTAAAGTCTAAGTTGAACTAGGCTATGCTAAAACCTGGTTCCACTAAAATAAACTTACCCCACTTCACCGCCTACATGAAAAGTATGTCTAATATGATTTATACATTGAACTAATTTCATCAAATAATATATTATAGTATGTTCTCTGCGGAACTCTACCCAGATGAATAGGCCTAAACTTAAGCGTAGGTAATCAAGACGTCAATTTACCTACTCTATAGTAGAGTCGTTTGAAAACATATCAGCTCTTCTTAAACTTGAGCATGGCCTTAGTTCATTAATCTGTAGAATTGAAAATTGATTATGAATACCGATTGATTTAGGTAAAGTTTGTAGATTTTGTATTCTTGATGGATTGCAAGATGTTTTAAGAAAATTCTGTCGTAATCCAACAGAACTCGATGTACGGCTAGTTAATTTTAACCAAAACATAATCAATTACAGTACGGGTACAGTTTCTTAACTGGGCTATGCTAAATAAAAATCACAAATATTAAGCTTTTACAACATTAAGAATAAATACTTGCAAATAAATCTTGAAAGTAGCCTATTCCTATATTACGCTAACGCTGACGCAAAAATATTACTGCACTAAATGCAATGCACGCAGTACGCACTGTGCAATGTGCAGACGACAATAAGTGTTTGATGTATCGAAAATTTGATTTCATTTTAAAGCATGTAGCACTGCCGTTTGTCCTGTATCACCACGGCCGCCTTTAACTCGGCCGCGGCCTTCAAAGTGACAACGTCGCAAGTGGTGTTGTAACAGCTGTTTTGTTTGGAAGCAGCTAATAGTATTTGTGTATTTACGAAAGATTGGTTACTGGACTATGACACGGCCGCCTTTAACTCCAGGCCGCGGCCTTCGAACTGGCAACGTCGCAAGTGGTGTTGTAACAGCTGTTTATTTTGGCACCAGCTAATGGTAATTGTGTATTAACGAAAGCTTGGTTACTGGACTTTGACAATATTGACTCCACTTTAAAAGTACAAAAATTAATTTTCTATTTAAATATTGTTTTGTTTTCAAGCCTATATGTTTTATTTTCAATCTTTCAATAAATTTATGTTCAAAAATTTTAATTTTAATGAAAAAAACGCGAAATAATGAGCTGGTGTCACCTGTATGCCATGTTATCTTATGGGACGTCTGGCGCTAGACAACACCACTTGCGACGTTGCCAATTCTACCAGGCCGCGGCCTGTAGTTAGAGGTGAAATGAAATGAAAAATCATTTATTTATACAGGCAAAGTTAGGGCCACATGGCCCTTTCTTACACTTAACCTGTACTTTAAAACATAATATAAATATTTTAACATAATCAGCTTATACAATAAAACAAAACAGAAATCATAGAGGTGGCCGTGACTATGACAATATTGACTCAGCTTAAAAGTTACAGATATATATTTTTAATTCATACTAGTGCACCTGTTGCTCGAATTCGTGCAATTGCAAAGTATTACAGGTATTATTTCAAAACGAATAACAGCATAGCAGTCTCTAGTAATTAGGCCGCGGCGAGCGAAATCTGGCAACGTCGCATCCGAGGCATAGTCCAGCGGGCTCCCGCCATTAGTTTGCACTGCTAAACGGCACATCACAGGTGATTAACCTGTTTGTTTTACACAATTAGGGACACTATGGTATCTGTAGTGACAGTGTATTATGCCTCATAAGTGTGTCGTGCCGGAGTGCAATAGTAACCACCCAAAATCATTAAAAACTAAGGGGTATATACAATTATTTCACTTCCCTCTAGAGGGTCCCCTTTCTGGGGTCCAGGTCATGCGATAATCGTATCTCATCATACGCATTCGAAATCGCTGTAGCCTGGGTGAGAGCTTGTCCAAATTTTGTATTTTGAAAATTGAGACAAGCGGTTTGTGGTCGGTCTCAATTGTGTACATTTTACCCATTAGGAAACATTTCAAACGGTCACTTGCCCATGTGCACGCAAGCGCTTCTCTCTCAATGTTACTGTAGTTTTCTTCAGCAGGCGTTAGAGTCCGAGATATATATGCCACAGGTTTCTTGTTTTCTCCTTCAACTTGAAGTAAAACCGCTCCAAGACCTTTTTTTGAAGCATCACAAGAAAGAATCGAGGGTTTTTGCGGATCGTAAACAGTCAAACATGGCTCTGATGATAAATCTGTTTTACTGTACTGTGTTTTACTGTTTTACCAATCTGTTTTACTGTGACAAACGCTTTTTCTTGAGCTGGTCCCCAAAAGAAATCGTTTTTAGTCTTTAACAAGCTCGTAATTGGCTCCAAAATCTCACTGCGGTTCGGAATAAATTTTGCCAGAAAAGTGATCATGCCCATGAATCTTTGTACTTCATTAGCATTTCTTGGAGCTGGTAAGTCCACAATCGCTTGTACCTTGCTTGGATCAGGCTTGATTGGATCAGGGTCTTTTCTAGTATTCGTGGTTTTTTCCTTCCACCATGACATTACACAACTATGTGGTAGGTTTATTTATGCCATTGATTATTGAAATGAAGAAAAAATCTATAACCATAAGTTGTTAAAATTATGTTATTGATATATTTTAATGTTAACAGTAGGGCAATTACAATGTAGGGCATAGTTCTTTGTACAAATTTTGTGCTATTTATTTAAAAAATTCAATCTACTTAACAAGTGTTTGGATTAGGCAGTATGGACGTGTGGCACATCTTCCCGTTGTGAAGCACGGGCACAACAGCTAGTTCCGTTTATTCACTGATTGTAAATAAATTATAACGTAGGCCTAAAGATATAATTGAAAGTTGGTAGGAAGATCATTACTCTAAACAGGTCACCATTTGTTTTCCCCATTTGTAAGACCCTTTCAAATGTCGGGTTTTCACCATGATAATAATTTGTATTACCTATCAATCTTTCTTCCGAAAATAAACTAAAATTTCCAGAAATGCTATTTAAGAGTTACAATAACTTTCTCTAAATTAACTGAATCAACGTACAATATATTTAATGCTACAGAATATAAATCCAACCGATTTACGACAAGAGTGCATGGTGGCGGGTTGTCGAGGTGGCACGTTGTCGCCTATGAGCGAGGTGGCGCTTTGACGGCACCGAACACTGAGCGTACACGTCAACTCGCCACCTCGTAAAAGAGTGGTGGCGGGTTGACGGGGTGGTGCGTTGTCACCTACGTGCGAGGTGGCGGGTTGCCGACATAGAACATGGAGCTTCACGGCAACCCGCCACCGCTGATAAAAACTGGTGTTGGCGGGTTGACGTGGTGGCATGTTGTCGTTGTGGCTCATTGACGTCAGTGTGTACGACAACCCCCCACCTCGGAAAATTGTGCGGGTTGGGTTGTCGTGGTGGCCTGTTGTCGAGGTGGCGGGTTGACCTGTGTACGTACACGTCAACGAGGAAATGCCTGCCTAGATAAATGTTTTTTCTAACATCCCCAAAGATGATGTATTTTGTTGTATTGAACCGTTCCATTTTTCAGATCATAATGCCATTCTTTTCAGAATAGTTAATGATATCATACATGAGCATTCCGCTACCCCCTAAAACAGACTCTGTATTCGGTCTTTTTTCCGAGTTTCCTTCTTCTTCCTCATTTACTGCTGAAGTCAAAAGCCCAACTTCAGGAGATTTGTGACATACGTCATTTCCTCTGATTACGTCACAATTTGTAATATAATATTATCACGTGGGAACTGGCTAATCGCTCCATGCAAATTAATTACAGAATCCATTTTATTTGTTAAAACAGCGTTTTCTGCTTGCAGCTTAATGATCGAGGACATTATATCCCTTACGTTAATAGTGAGATCCAATATGTAGTCAAAGGCGAGTTTGCGTTCCCTGAGCTTAACGAGCTTAACTTCAAATATATGAGTCACAAAACCACTTCACGTCGTCCCCTAGGGCCTGGATTTTCTTATAACATTCAGATGAGAGTTTAATACATCTAGCGTGGTACCACTTATCACAAAAGGCGTCACACAACACGCCATTACGAACCGGAAGTAAAAAAAAAACAAAAATAAACCACATATATTAATTGGGGCTTGAAATTTCGCACGGTTTCTAATTTTAGGTTTTAAACTTAGGCATATTCTGAAAAGTGCCATATTTTATCCCCTCCTTTTTTTTATGACCACTACACATGCAGTGGACACAAATCAATTTTTGTCGTCCTACATTTTCGACATATCTAGCAGGATTGTCAGCATTGGTTCCCTGGATAACCGAAATATTCTAGTAATTTCAGCCACCTACCCCTGAAAAATATATTAAGCAAGAATGGGTAAGAGTTCGTTAACCACTTCTATAGGAGGGATTTGAAAGCTTACACTGGCCTTAGGATTAAAACCAAAGAATAAATCTTAAATATTTTCTCATTCAAATATTTTCCCCTTTCCCAAATTGACCCCCTCTCCCATACTTTTTCTTAGGAGCACTGGAGCACAAAACATGAGCAATGGACTACATTACTGTAAACATAGGAGATACTTGACATCCAGCAGTATTGTTATGTAGCTCGAACTCTCGTTGTCAATCAAGGCACCCAGTAGGAAGTGTTGGATTAAATAAAGAGTTTGAAACGATTACAGAAAAACTATGGTTTATTACATAAAAGAAATTTAGATGCCAATTACTACACTTTTAAGTATTACACTTTATACTACACTGTACAGCTAATGTTACCATTTAGATACTTTTACATAACTTTTAATAGGTAGTTAAATAATAGTACCGGAAGTCCATCACGAGCGCGAAGGGAGAGAGAGACGCACAAGGGTTACGATAATTTATTCTCGGCACATGATGGAGAACGACTGAGAGAGTTGCATGGGCTCCACTCGGCAAGGCGAAAGTAGAGGGGGAAAGATTGTTCACTGTACAGTGCTGTGCTCTATCAAAAACTCTGAACATCATTGTGGCGTGTTTCCTGAACAACAACTGCGCAGCAGTGATACAAACCGCATGCGTTGCACGTATGTGTCACGGCTGCGAGCTCTGAATCACATACACTTCTCAACTGAATTACGATTTATAATATCATTCTACGTCACAAAAATGAATCCATAGGAAACCTGTATTTCCTAATACCTTGATATATGTTACTAATAGAGTTATTTGAGTATCCTGTATTATTACTGATAAAAAAAAGTTAAGTTAATGCCAGTGGCCAAAATTGGGGGCTGGCGGCGCTTGAGCCGTCACAGTTAGCCTGAGGCCATTATACACAAAATGTTAGAGGAATGTGGTATGTCTCAATTGCAATCACCCCAATTAAGAGACCTTTTTAAGACTTAAAACTTTGCAGGATTGTTAGTTTTGTAAAATGGCATTTCCATGGTTTCCTACAGTACTTAGACATATTAAGATCCTAAACTACGCTGTGATAAGCGATTAACCTTTATGGAGCCTGGGTACTGAACCAGAGGGCAGTATATACCATATAAGTTAGGCCTCTACTACCTTTTAGTGACAGATGTAATGTAATTGGGTTATTAAAAAAAGGTACTTCCTAGATCCAGTGGTGGTTCTAGGACCTAGTCAAGGGGGTGTGTTTCCACCACCCAAGAAAAAATGGGATCCTGGGAAAATTTGGTATTTTTAAATCCGTTTGGTGACTTTCTAAAGCCATTTTTAACTGTGTCCAAAAACCTCCGTAACATTTTTAGGATGAAATGTAGTATAAATTTATGTTTCCAGGATCCAACGGAGGGGAGGAACCACCGCTGTCTAGATGTATAAATCAATGCATATTTTACTATATTATAAACATACACAGGTAATATAGCCTATAATAAGAAAATTTATATTATTATTATTTTTTTCTTAAACTGTCAACAGTTTCACCTTTGCTTATCAGGTGATAAGAGATCAAAATTACAAATGTGTATTATTAAAAACTGAAGAATTATGTATTTTTTTTCTAAATTATGAATTGTTTATTTTTGTCAAACCGGTTTCAAAAATTTGATAAGGAATTATAATAAAGATTACATGGATATAGCTTTAATAAATAGATCAAAAGCTATGTCTATAAGTAAAGATTGTAGGGCCAGGCATGCTTTCTAAAAATAACTAACATAACAACGCATGGCTTCCAAATTGCTTTCATCTGGGCATTATATGCCATTATTAGGTCTTGGTACATGGCAGGTAAGATCAAAGTACATGATTCATATTTCACAAATATAGGTAATGATTTTCAAAGGTGATAAAATTGGTGATTTGTTAAAGATTGCAGTATATTTCTGTCTCAGTCTAGCAGTGAATAAAAATAGAATGCAGCCACAATAACAAGCGCTGCTTCTACTCGTTGGTGGTTAGAAAACTGTCATGTTTCGTGGTTTTGTTACATATTGCTGGTAGACAGATTTAATGTACAGTTTAAAAATGTTAGAAAAAACATTATTTTAATAGAAATAAAACAATAGAAAATCAGTGTAACTATATACTTAAATTCAATGGTTAAAAGAGTTTTTAAACTTGCTAATCTATACATAGTAGTTTGACTTTTGTAAGTTAAGTTGTATTGTACTAAAAATATGATTTTATTATACTATGTTATATGATTAAATTTCAAATGGGTATCAAGAAAGACCTGTGTGTCTCCTAGTCTAAAATAATAATATGGAAGTACATTTTGGTAGAAAGAAGACAAAACATTATTTAAAATGCACTTGTATATAGTTGTTGTCTAATTAGAAGGTTTGCTGGTCTGTATAATGTTTAAGGTTTTATTGATCACTGGGTGAGGCTAGAGTGAGGTGGAGAGTTTTTTATACCAATGGTAGTGGCGCTTCACATGCACATAGTGAGGCAGCGAAGGTAGCAAGTTAAGAAGCTAGATTACGGTAGCCCTACTTTTGAATATTCATTAAACCTGATTCCTATTTAACGTGAATTTTAATGAGTTACTTTTAAGGCAGAGACTACGCGTCCGGTAACCAGACGTGCATTAGGCGTCCGACAGTTACTGTCATAACCTAACCTAAACTAACCAAACTTGCTGATAATGAAAAAATCGAATGAAGGTTAAATTCTGTTCATAAAATAAAATTATAAATGCCTCAAATTCTAACAAAAAGAAAAAATGGCATTCTAAGCAAAATCTTTGACAAAAAGTTAGTGTCACCGATGGGATTCGATCTAGATACCTCTTGTAAATCAGCCAAGTACTCTATCCACTACACCAAGATCACCGATGGCTGTTCTTCTTATCATTGTGGTATAATGGGGTTCCGGGCCCCCACAACCCGGTGACGTCACTGCCGGATGCCTAATCCACATTCCGTCACCGGACGTGTATCCTCTGCATACTTTTAATGTTGATAGCTAAGTATGTAGTAAAGAAATTGCCAAATTTTATTAAAATACATCTATAAACAAGATAACTGCAATAGTTTATTTATTCTCTATCAAAATTACATGGGAGTTTTAAATTAAAAATTTTTTTTTATTATCTTCGTAGCCGTTTAGGCATACATTAACGCTTCAATATACAAATCTTTTCCTTTTTTAAGCTCTACAAATAAGTTTGATTTAAGAAATTAAGAAATTTTATGTTTTCAGAGTCAAAAAGGGGAAAACCAATTTTTACCCCATAAACCTCCATCATGCTCGTGACATCAATCATGATCATGCTGGTTTCCGAACTCATTCAAATAAACATAGGTGTGTACAGAATTTCATCAAAATCGGACCGTTTCTGCTCGAGTTATTGCGCTAACCAAAACATAAATTTATACATCAATATGAATTTGAACGGTGGGTATTTTTTTCCTCTGGGGACCTTCAAACGGAAATGTAAATCAGTCCCGAATCTAGGTCTTATCATGAAATCTACGGTAATAGCTTATTTTCTATTCGCTAAAAACTGTTTGCTGAGTAAATTACATAAAATACCCCCGCCGCAGCAAACCTGCAGACTAAGCGAATTTCCATTTGCCTGACTGGATTTGAGTGAAAATTTAAAAACGTACGTTTTCAGGAAAAGCACTTTGCAAATTTGTTTGCCCTTTTTTCAAAACTTTTATTATTTTTTTTATTTTATTAACATTTGAAGTTTCATAAAATGTCCATGGTAACGCAATATCTTTGGTAGTTTTCTTTTTAAAGAGCATCTTTAGTAGAAAAACACAAAATCCTGTCACGACCATAACGGACGTTTAAATGAATATTAAAAATAGTTAATATTATTTTTATAACTATGTTTTGCTATAAACTAATTTACTTTTATGACCATTATACAATAAAAAGGTCACTGAGCTTTTGGTATATTTGGTCTTTCTAGAAAAAAATAGAAAAAACTCAAAAAATAGAAAAAAGCCAATAAAATCTTTTTAAGTTTGTATAACTCAGAAAAAACTTACCTGAGACCCAAAAAATCGTTATGTTTGTATAGAGGTGTGCTTCTTTTGTGTATAAAACATTAAATTATGACGATATTTTAATTTTTGAAATTTTTATGATAGAAATCATAATTGTGATGGTCAGGGACAAGCGATACGGTCGTGAATTGTCTGGAATAATCTAAATCTTTCTAAACAATCCTTCAATTATACTGTTAGGTATCATAAAACTATGTGTTTCAATTGAACTAAACTGTTCAATTTACAATTATATTAAAGTTATTGTCACGACCAAACACACTATAATCCATAAGGCTGGATTGGTCGTGAAAAAAACCGCGATGGTCGTGAAACTTTGGTCGTGAAATTACGTGTTATTTGGCTCTGTTCTGGCGGTAGCCCTGCACCTTATGTTCGAGGATACAAAGTGGACTTCTAGGTTAATATAGCAATTGAAATATCTTATAAACAAAAATTAACACCATGTCTACTTCATCGAATGACTACGTACGGTCATGGACACACCAAAATTACAAAAAACACAATCTTTCCTTTATTAATCTTGTAATTCCTCCTTTCAACTCAAAACGACCGGCACTACAATCCTGACGTACACCCCAAACTAGTCTCTAAAACCAACTGACTCCATCGACGCCAGGCTTGCCACTGTCGTGCTCCAAAGTTGAAAATTTTTCCCAAATGGTCGTGACGCCAAATCGAGGGACAGACTTATTTTGTCATGGTAGTCAGTCTGCAATGACAATAAAATTATAATATGCTCCTTTTTTGTAAGTTTAATAACCATTGATGACATAAAAATATGGCTTTATATATTTCGGCATGAATAATTAGTCTAAAAACAGCGTGAAAGTTGGAAAATGTACCCTAGGGACACGTCATGGTCGTGAATTTCGAGACTTTAAAAATACGAAAAAAATACCTAGAACCTATTTAAAACCAAATAAATGTGTGTCACATGTTGCCCCCGTCCCAAAAAATATTAAAACACATAATAATAAACTACAAATCCAGTATCTACGAAGTAAAAGACCAGGGACATGAAAATGTACGTTTTTAAATTTTCACTCATTTACACTAAAATGTCTCCTTAAAAATATCACATTTACTGTATTTCCTATTTAAATAACATTAGTTTAACGAGTACTTTAGGTTTGCTGCAACAGTGAGGGTAAAAAGGTATTTTTTTGTAAAATGTAATAGTTATTGTGCTAACGGACACACATATATATATATAAATTTGAACGGATGGTGTTTTTGGCCTCTGGGGACCTCAAAACTAAAAAGTAAATCGGTCCCGGGTCCAGGTCTTACCATGAGACCTACGGTAATAGCTTATTCCCTACTATATGGGGAATTCGCTAAAAATAAATTTTAAGTCAGTTTGACCCCCGAGGCTAAAGAAATCAGTGTATAATATCGGAGTGAAGAGGCTAGCTGTCATCGCGGGTATGAGCTCCGCTCCCCGCTCTACTACGTTTTGGCACACCTATGTATATGTATAATTTAAAAACAGCTTAGCCACACTCTAGCCTTGCCAATCCACTAAGTTTTCACCCTTATAGTCAGTAACCAAGCTAAACAAGTGATCTCACATTACGCCTCTTTCACACTATCCGGCGCGTATTGTCCGGATTTGCCGAGTTGTCCGGCGTGGACGCCGTGCGGCGCTGTTTGTCTGACGTAGGTGCTTCCGGCGGTGACTCGCACGCCGGACATCGTGTGAAAAGACTCATCTACTCTCATAGCCCAACGCCGGATCCGTCGGGCGCCGGACCGTGTGAAAGAGGCGTTACAGGCAGCCCCATGTGATGCTGAGTGAGAAGACAGTGTTGGCAGCACTTGAGGCTGGTTACCGTTACATTGACACCGCCTGGCTTAGTCAGTTAACTAAGTTACACAAGTGATCTAACATTACAGGCAGCCCCGGGTGATGCTGAGAAGGCAGTGTTGGCAGCACTTGAGGCTGGTTACCGTCATATCGACACCGCTACAGTTTATAAAAATGAAAAGGAAGTTGGAAATGCCATTCAAAGTTGGTTAAAGTGCGGAGCTGGAAGAAGAGAGGAATTATTTGTCACAACCAAGGTAACTGCAAAAAATATTTTAATATCCTTTTCATAATTTGTGGAAATTTTCCTTTATTGCTAATGACAAGTTATTTTAGTTCTACTGTAAAAAGAGCATTATTCAACATCTCGTAATAGGATTTGATATGTGTTACATCTCTAAATGTCTCCCTTTACTTATTGCTAGAGCTCTCAATCCCGGGATCCCGAATCCCGGTTGATTTTTGATACCTAGAAATCCCGGGATTAGTGTCTTTTAATCCAGGGATTAACGGGATTGCAAAATCTAGGTTTAAATAGATTTTTGGTGAATTTGAGGGGTATTACTTATGGAAAATGAAAAAAATACATCCAATAACACTTAAAACACGAATACTGTTTATTTTTAGGACTATAAATAAATATATGAAATGGTATAAAGATGCGATCTATTTTGATTGGAAAATTTAACTATCATTAAACTCAATAGGCTCAATGTTCATATCATAAGTAAATATATGTTTCATGTTTTTAGACGAATTGGATTTACTTTCTGTAACTGTTATTACATTAGTTAAAAGTTAATTATAGTAAGCCTATAAGTTTTTGGCGTTTTACTTTTGACATTAAACAGAAACAACGTAATTCATGTGGGAAACATAACATGGCAATCGGTAATTATAGTATTATTTTCTTAATAACATTGAAGCCCTAATAATTAACTATAAACAGACCATTATTATTTCATTATTGAGATTGCTTATATTTAGCGTCTATAACTTTTATCTTCGTATTTGGTTATTAGTATGGCGATTACATTTTTACAATCCTAAATTAAGTTTTTCGTACACACGCTACTACATATGCAGATGGTTTATTGTTTTACAGTACCTTACTTGTTTCATTGCTGTCAGTAAACAAAAAAAAAATTATGCTGCTACTCACAATTCTTCCCATTTATTATCTTTTTATCTTTAGTTTCCATATTAGCGTGACATATAGGCTACATGCGAGTGCGGTTGCTCATAATTTTTTTTAATGTATTTATTATATTCTAGAGTGACATATCAACATTTATACACGTAAATAAGAAAGACGGGTGATGAACAATCCGGCAAAATTCCGCAGTGAAACACTGATAAGGCCAGTTTAAAACATTAAAGGACCTAACGAGGGGACTTATCGCTCATTTAAAATGGCTAAAAAGTTAAAATTATAAAATTATACAATCCAGGGATCAATCCAATCCCGGGATTGGATTGAAGGCCCGGTATTGAGACCCCTACTTATTGCCTGTTTATTTTATAACCATTATCACATTGTTGTAATGTTTACTTTGTTACTTTCTCCCCCTATACCAATATCCTATTACATGGAGAAAGTTTTGTTTTTGTAAAAATTTTCGAGTTTTAGTTTTCAGTGGATATATCCATTTTGGGCACCCCTGAACCCGAAATAGTGGTTTTTGAAGTGATGTGTGGGTGCGTTCACAAAGAAAGCTGGTTACAAGTAACATATTTTCAGTGCTTGCTCCAAGCGCTTGGGAATTTTGTTGTGTGTACACAACAAAAGCTTACAATGGTCTTTCATCAAGTGATAAAGAGTTATTTTGGCTTGAAAATTTATTAAAATTCGTAGAAGGAAAGTTGCTGTTCATGCAATTAACCGCAGAAGAGGTAGGTTTGCGGAATACCACCCTCTATTTCCTCAATTGACATTGGACAAAGTGAGGTATTTTTCTTATATGAGAATAGAGTTAACCATGTTTAGTTACATCCTCAAGAAAATCTATTAGCATGTAGTTTGTCCCAAATAGCCCCTCTTCTAAAGACTTGAGATATCAGTTCATCGACATCCATAACTGCACAGTTGTTAGTCACTGACTGTTTCGGTCAACAAGATCTGGAAAACAAGTACAGTACAAAACGTTCTTGGGTGCTTGTCAAAACTTGTAACAAGCGCTTGCTAGCCAGCGCAAGCCTTGCCTGTGAACGCACACGCTTGATACAATGTAGACCTTGTTACGCATATAGGTACTAATTCATGGTATCTCCAGGCATTTTTTCATATTTAGAAATTTTGATTTTTATAGTGATTTTCCTATAAAACCCATATAATAACGGAAAAATTAGATTTTCTCGAAAATGGCCTGAACGATTTTGATAAAAATTTAGCATGTTGTAGTCCTTTAGATTCTAAACAAAATGGTACAAATTCCATTTCCGTAAAAATCAAAATCAAAACCAAATCCCGACTTTTCAAGACCATATTGAAATTGAATACTTATTCCCAGACACGCTGATTACTGTAAAAATTACGGTTCAAAAGTTATTGTAACTTATGTTATTTTCACATAAAAACTCCTTAAAATGACAAAAAATTGGATTTTAAGGAAAAATTCAATTTTTGATTAAAATTAATGTGTTATGGTCCTTACAATCCTAAACAAAATAGTGCAACCCCCCCCCCCCTTTCCTGTAAAAATTACTACCTATTCAAAAGTTTGCAAATTTTGTGATTTTTCCTATAAAATAGCATAGTTACTCCCACCACTTACCCATGTCCATGTAAAGATTGTTGGCAAGCTTATGGGAGAAAATATGTGTCAGATTTCTAAAACCCTTTATTTTTAAATTGTGTTGAATAAAGTTGGTTAATAATTGTACTTTGATAATTACATCTAATTTGTTCTAATAACATACAGAATAATATGGATAAATTATTTAGTAGGACACTGAAATTTACTGCATTCTGATGTCCATGCAATAAATATTGTATTTTTTCTGTACAGCTAAGGTCAGTCCATCCTAATAACATTAAATGTGTTTGAGTTGAGAAATGTCTTAATTTGAGAGACCATCATTGAAAAATGGCTTTTGTAGCTAAATTGCATAAAATTTGTAAATTTGTATTTTAGAAAATATAAAAATAAACTAGTGTACCTGTTGCTCGAATTAGAGCAATTGCTAAGTATTACAGGTGTTTTAAACGAATAACAGACATAATTTCTGATGACTTTAATAGATTCGACTCAAAGATTGTGGAAATACTCAAGATGTACATAACAGATCGATATAATCAACATTTCTTGTAAATAGTGTTTTATACAAATAGCCTTACTCATAGCCGCATTAGGTGGTTCATAATAACGATTATAAATAAAAAAAAAAAAACAATATTTCTATTTCTTCTCCTTGGTAGTGTTGTATGACTTTCCTATGTTTCCATAGTTTGCAAATCGGCTCTTTCAATGATTACTAAGAAATGCAGCACAATGTTAATTCAGTTTTCTTTTAGTGTATTAAATTATCCAGGCTCTCTCGCTTTTTTCCATTGTAATATTTACGCCAACTGAAATTCAAATAGTAAATATTTCATTTCAACCAAGTCAGTAAATGTTCGTAGCAAACTCCTCGTTCCAACCACCACCCCTGGCTTAAGTCTGAGACTTATTTACCAGGCCAATTCCCCGTGAAAATCTTCTTTCTTTTTAGGCTTCAGCCACTTTCAATCCTCGTGCAGACACATTATGTGTCCAAAAGCCTAACAGCACGATTCCCTTCCCCATACCGCCCCGAGCGATAGGTATCATTGAGATTCACTCTATAACCTTTCCTCTCCCCTTCATGGGCATGTTTTCATTCCTTTTCTTTCTTAGTTTTTTTTATTTATTTTTTTTTTTTCATTTAAAAGCCTGTATGTATCCCTGGTTTTTCCTATTTCCCTAGCTACTTTTCTAAACGTCTTAATTGTTTCCTTGTCACTCATCAGGTTTTATTTTCTCATCTCTAGACCTCTCTTATCCAAGACTTATTCCTGTTCTCTCCAATTTGTCTCCTGAAGTGAACAATTTATAAATACGTGACTCGTGGTTTTTATTTCTCCACACCTACATTCTTCCTCTTCCACCAGGTGAAATCTCCACAAATTTGCCTTGAAATTTTTCATGTCCTGTGACAAACTGCGTTTCATAATGGCCCATCTCCCAATCTTGTTCCAGTCTCTTTCTGATGTTAGGTATATATCCGAACGTTTACATTTAAAACGTGAACATAAAACACTCTGCTTCCAACGCACTTGCCACTCATCTAATATCTCCTCTCTTCTCTTTCCGATGTAGTCCTACCTGCCTTCTTGTCTTCCAAAATCAACAGCTTATGCAGCGATTATCCAACAGTCCTAAATTGAATGTGAAATCTTCAGGCGGCTGTTGGAGAGCACACTCATCGATGTATAATTTATACATTGATGAGCACGCTTAAACCCAACACGGAAGGGTACTTGCTGTATTCGGCTGTTAACGACAATAGTATTACTGTATTTGTATTTCGTTCGCGTCTACCAGTTAAGTTTGTCGGCCTCCTCCTATTGGCCGTCCTGGTGTTATAGTCTCCATTATGTCGAACATTTTTTTGGTTACCTGTATGTTTTGATTTTGGGCAAATAAAAACTGGTTTAAAACAGTGAAACATCAATATTTTCAACTAGTCTAATAAATCCACAGTATAACCAGCTGTTTCAAATATTAGTGTCAATTTCAAAGTATTTATTTGCTCAAATGTAAACAAACATTTTCTCCCTAAGAATAACATGGGAACTTTGAAGACCACTGGGGCGGGCGCCCTGATGGAATTCCAAAGCTTTTTGTTTGATGGCAAAACTACATGCTAAGACCTTTCTAACGACACCTTGGACATGGTGATCGGTAGCACCACCGTTTCAAAACAATTATGCCAAAAATATGCCTAGCGTATTAAATATATAGATTTTAGATTGCATTCATATTGTATTGTCTCAATGGCTGTAACATTGCTATATAATTTACATTTCTATTCTGTTCCAGCTCCCACACATTGGTAACAGACCAAATGACGTTAAAATATATTGTACCAAGTCCTTGCAAAGTCTCCAGCTGGAGTATCTGGATCTCTACCTGGTACACATGCCATTCACATTCAAGCCTGATGATACAGGAGAAGCACCAGCTAAACACAATGATGGCACTTTTGTTTTGGAAGAAACTGATCACAAAGAAATATGGAATGTAAGTTAAGTAAATTTGATCATAGTACTTGAACTTGATAAAAAAAGTTATATCTTTACATTACTTAACAGGCCCAGTAGAAGTTTGCCGTTACAGGTCACACAGGACAGGAAGTCAATGTGAACACCAATCAATCATATCCTTGCTAAACAACCCCATTCCATTCGTATGCAGACAGATTTACATGCACTCTCCTACTATTTAATTAACAACACTTGAGTTATTGTGTTGAACATGCATGTTATTAGCTCATGGTCATATAACTGTGCTTGTTACTGTACACGTTTTGAGAATGTAAATATGTTTAAGCACAAAGGTTAAAGATAGTTTACACATAATAATAAAAAAAATGATATAGTTGTAAGGATTTTAAAATGATTGTTGATAGGAGATGGAAAGTCTGGTGAAGAGTGGCCTGGTGCGTTCTATAGGAGTGTCTAATTTCAACAGTAAACAGTTAGAGCGATTGCTGAGCTTTGCCGAGATCCAACCAGCTGTTCTGCAGGTAGAGCTGCACGTCGCACTGCAGCAGCCTGAGCTACAACAGCTGTGTCGCAATAGCTGCGTAACACTCACTGCATACTCCCCTCTCGGCTCACCAGGCTCCAAGGACCATTTTAAGAACAAATATGGGTCAGTTCGTCTATTTGAATAAACTTACTTAGTTTAATTATAAATAATCTCAATAGTTACACAAACTAAAATTCAACAACCTATTCCAAAAACTTCTGAACAATATCCATTATGTCTTGGATTACCAGGAGATGATTGTGCAATAATAAATTCCTATTTTAATATAAACAATGATGGTATCTATATTATTACATTCTTATTATTAACATTACTGGTTGCGCCGCTACACTTTTGATGTAAAGAACACATTCAACTCTGCCAGGTGGAGTGATATGCTGCGGACGTTCAAGCATATGTTACACGTTCCTCATCACATCCTACAAATATTGAGTTCTATCTTTCAGACCTTGCTTTTAGACACCACCAAAGGTCAGCGTCGGATCTCCATCACTTCTGGGGCTGCACAGGGATCGATCCTTGGATCCGATCTCTGAAACGTGTCTTACAGCTAAGACTCAAAATGCCAGACGAGATCCGCCTTGTTGGCTATGCCGAAGATGTCGCTGCTTTGGCTGCAGGCAGAAATGCCGAGGAAGCAGAGCTAAAACTCGGTGTAGTGATGCTCCTACACCGTGCGGTGTAGTGACGGGTGGATGCAGAACCACGGCTTGCCATTGGCAGTCAAAAACGACTAAATTGCACTTCTTGTGCAAGTGGGCCATACCCAACAGGAGACCAAGACGTATGCCAAATACCTTGGTGTTATGATTGACAGCAAGATGTCTTTCGGCGAGCAGATCAAGCGAACCATTGACAAAGCCGCTAAGGGAGTTGCTGCCCTTAGTAGGCTTATGCCAAAGGTCGGCAGTCCCCGCTCCTGCAAACGCTGCCTACTGGTGTCCGATCAGTGATTTTTTACGGTGCTGAGGTTTGGGCCCATATGCTGGAGAAACGTGTCTTTTGTGACCGGCTTTTACGAGTTCAGTGTCGAGTGGACTTGCAAGTTGCTTCTGCCTACAGCACGGTCTCCGAGCCTGCAGTCATAGTGATTGCCAGTGTCATCACCATCTTCCATTTTGCGAGGGAACGACATGCGATCTACCGCAGGGGACCTCAAGTAGACAGAGACAAGAGAAGAACGTGACCGCAGTTTCAACCACTGGCAGCGCGAATGGGTCGCCGAGTCTAGGGGACATTGGACAGCGAGGCTCATCCCTAGCATCCAACCATGGGTGGAACGGGAGCATCCTTTTTCATTTGCATATCTTTCATACATTGGTACAAAGCAGCAAAAACAGCAATACTCTAATTGATGTTAATAAGCCTATCACGTGTGAAGCCGGACCTAGGCGGCGGGTGATTGCGGCGTTGCCAGTTCGAACGTCGCGGATTTGTGTACCTACTAGAGAAGCCTATGCATGAGAGCAGGAGATAACCACGTCATCACCGTGAACGCGGGATAATAATGACAAGCACAATGATTCCAATGTCGCCGTGATTGTTGAGGATAATCCAACACGGAATTTCTGGATGCTATCTACAGAAGACAAAAATGATACTTTTCTGTTGAATTTAGGTAATGGCCCACTGCCATCTACTAGATGTTAATAAAGTGCATCTGTGCAATTTTTGTGATTGTAGTGGATCATCAGTTGATGATACATTTTTTTGGTGTCAGATGTGAAGGCTAAAAAACCACGTATCTATTTGAGGGCGGCCAATTTGGAAAGATGGCGGTGTGGGTAGTCTAATGTTAAATTTCAAAAGAGGCTTCAAAAAGAGATAGGGTGTTTCTTTCGATTCCCTAAAAGGATGGTTGTGTCTTTAGGAGGGGGGAATTTTTCATTGAGGCCAAAAGTGCCGATTTAAAAAGGATGACACCCTTTACAGGTGTTGGTGTTCTTGTTTGTCCATAAAAAGTTGCCGAGACGAAATATGGCGTTTTTATTAACAATTCATCAAAATTGAAGTACAATTCTTGGTTCTCCTGTTTGGCTGGTGTTAGCTTAATTTATTAGAATTTAGGCCTTAACACGTTCGCTACCGAGCATGCGACGCCGTGGTCATTGCCACGGACCGAGGTATACAATTTAATCTTACACATAGACCGGCTGTCACTTGGATAACAGTACACGCAGACCATGGGCAAAAAACCTGTGAAACAGCAATAATTTACATTGTAATAGGCTGCAATCGTGTTTGTGAATAAATAGCCTAAACGCCGCATATATGCGACAGTTCAGTTTTGTTTTTTTTAGGTAAAAGTAAGTAAAAAAAGATTTTTCAAGACCAGTTTATAATTGAACAAATATCAAAGCTTCATAGCATACATACAGTATTCATACATACTGCGATGCAGCAAAGTAAAAAACAGTTTTTCCAACTATCATATTGATACGTATGGGGTGTGATGATTTAAATAAAACAACATTTGGGAGTGAAATAAACCCGGCCGACTACATGATTGCGGTTTGCTGGAATCTTGAGGACTGACGAGGAAGGAAACTTTTGGATCGGCGGTTAAATGTGGAGGGAAAAGTGGCGTGATGGGTTGTAGCCAATCCGGGAGCTTTATTGGAAACATACGATTTGACGTCACAGTCGCCTGATCGCAGTCAGGACACAAATGCAAAACATATTGCCAACTCTTTATAACTCAAATCTAAATATTGTAAAAATAGCAACATTATGGTACATTATTGTATACACTAAAATCTTTATATAACGGCATATATAACACCTCCCTTCTTAATATCTTGACTCATAATCATAATATTATCTTGAAATTAAAATTATTTTTTATGGATATAATGTTCTACGAAATTAATTAAGTAAGTTAAAAGAATATTTGATCAGAACAACAATAGTTTCACACAATAGAGTTACACAAACAATGAAAACACAAACTACTAAATAAAAATGAAAGCATGAATAAAATATTCGTTGTGAAAGAATCTGTATAATATTTACAAATCCAACCGCGTAGTAGGTTTTCTATCTCTTTCCGGATAACGCTTAACAATAGGCTCAGCTGCTCTGGGTCTGGTGGGAGAGGGAGAATGAACAGCTGGACTGGGCATCCTGGGTAAGGAGTGACGTGACGGAGGGGTATGATGTGTGAGGAGGGAGGACGTCCCGCCAGCGTCCTGCCTCGTGACGTCGGCTTCCATCAGCTGTGGCTGCATCGGGCTCCTGGGGCTGGATAGACCACGTGACTCACCTATTGGAGTTGCCACTGCTACGGCTTGGCTGTCTGCTACTGTTGGTATTGGAGTGGGAGGGGTATCAACAGGGATCAGCTGATCTATGTGGCGTTTCCAAACAATGCCTGAATTTAGTCTAACAGTATACATTGTTGGACTTATCTGCTGCAATATGGTTCCCTCTATCCATTTGTCTCTAGCTCTATAGCCTCTTACTAGAACTAACTGATTGGTAAATAATCATTTAGTTTTACTACCTCGGGCATACATTTTTTGTTTGTTTTGCTGTTCCTCGATCTACATGCCTATACCTAGATCAGGTCGTAAAAGACCTAATCGTGTTCTCAAGTTGCGATTAAACATAAGCTTAGCTGGTGTCTCATTAGTTGTTAAATGAACTGAGTTACGGTAATCAAACAGAATTCTGCTTAAAGCTAGGGATACATCAACATTTTCACGAAAAGCACACTTTAATTTATTCTTAGCATACTTTACTGAGTTTTCAGCCTGTCCATTTGATTGGGGTGATATGGGGCTGAAGTGGTGTGTTTGATACCATTACACTTAAGAAAATTTCCAAATTCAACTGAAGTAAATGGAGGTCCATTATCACTGTGTACTGTAACGGGTAATCCGAATCTAGCAAAAAGGCTTCTTAGGTTATCTATAGCTAATTCAGCCGAAGTTGAACTTGTTTCAAAAACTTCCAGCCACTTAGTGTACGCATCAACAACAACAAGGTACATTTTACCCTTGAAAGGTCCCAAATAATCTAAATGTAACCGCTCCCAAGGTCTGCTGGGATAGTGCCAGTTATGTAGTTCGACTTTGGATGGATTTGCTCTTTCCAAGAGACAGGGAGAGCAGCTATTAGCAAGTGCTTCTATATCATGATCAATGTTAGGCCACCACATGTATGACCTGGCAACACTTTTCATCTTTACTATCCCCATATGACTCGAATGCAATTCTTTCAAAACATAAGCACGTAACTTAGCAGGAATTACTACTTTATATCCCCACATTAACACTCCTTGCTCAACAGCTAGCTCTACCTTCCTCTGAAAATAAGGTAATAACTGTCTACTGTCATCAGGAAGAACGTTAGGCCAACCGTACATCACATAGCCTAAAACTTTAGTCAAAATCGGGTCTTTTTGCGTTTCTAGCCTTACATCCTCCCACGTTACAGGGAAAGAACTATCCTCAGTGCACTGTAAATAGGTACCAACCCACAGTAATTGGTCTTCACTAGGGTGTTTAATATATAACGGTAACCTAGATAACGTGTCTGCGCTATTTGCGTTAGATCTCACATACTTAATGTCATAACTGTATCCTGATAAAAACAACGCATACCTTTAAAGTCTGCTAGCAGCAAAAACAGGAAGTCCCTTTTTAGGCCCAAATATACTAACTAACGGTTTGTGATCACATTTCAATGTAAAGTGTTTACCAAACAGATACTGGTGGTATTTACGTACACCGTAAACAACTGCTAGGGCTTCCTTATCAATCTGGCTTTAGTTTTTCTCAGCTGCGGACAGAGTCCGAGAACTAAACGATACTGGTTTCTCCACGCCATCTTTATCAATTATGCTCAATACACAGCCTATACCAGTACTACTCGCATCGACTGTCAGCACAGTCGGCGCTTGGGTATCATAATGAGCTAACACAGGCGCTGAACTAAGTAATTGTTTTACCTCATTAAATGCTTGCATGCATTTATCATCAAATTTAAAAGCTACATCTTTTCTCAATAGATTGTACAAAGGGCTTAAAATACTGGACAAATTGGACACAAATAGTTAATTAGGCCAATAAATGATTTGACTTCTGTGACATTTTGTGGTACTGGTGCATTCACAATAGCCCTAATCTTTGATGGTGCTGTGTGTAAACCGTTTCTGTCGATGATAAACCCCAAATACTCCAGACTTGATTGGAAAAATTTACATTTATCAGACTTTACGATTAACCCGACTTCCTTAAGTCGTTTCAAAACTTCTTTCAATGTATTCAAATGAGAAACGTTGTCACAATTAGAGACAAGGATATCATCGAGAAAAACGGCCACACTTGGTAGTCCCTGCAATACCTGTTCAATTTTTTTCTGAAAAATACCGGGTGCTGACGCAATACCATATGGTATACGCTTATATGAAAATAAACCCTTGTGCGTGCTAATTGTACAGAGCTTCTGCGCCTCCTCTTTCAATCTTAATTGCATGTATGCCTGACTAAGATCTATCTTACTATAAAAATCACCCTTTTGGATTTCAATAAACAAATCTTCGATTCTAGGGAGGGGGTAGCGATCAATCTCTAAGTAGGAATTTAGTGTAACTTTAAAGTCACCACAAATTCTTAAGCTACCATCTTTCTTTAATATAGGTACAATAGGTGTAGCCCACTCTGAACTTTTAACTGGGTACAAAATATCTTCATCAATCAACCTAGAAAGCTCTTGTTCGACTTTTGACTTTAAAGTGAAAGGTAGGGGTCTAGGTTTACAATACTTAGGAACACAATGCTCTTTGACATGAATTTTAACAGGATCACTCTTATATTCACCCATTTGTCTGTGAACACCTCTGGAAATTCCTTAACTAACTGGTTAACTTGTTTCTCAAAGTTTTGCTCCTGACCAGATTCATTTTCGCATTTAGTGACATACAAGTTGTTTGATTTAAAAGAGATTTCAACATTAAGAGCGGATAACCAGTCTCGCCCCATCAATGGGTGTGAACCATTTTTAATTACATACAAATTAAGATCATTAACATTAATTCCCTGGTAAGATACATTTACCTTAATTTTACCTACCGGTTCAATAGGTGCATTAGTGTAAGATCAGAGTGATAAATCACTCAGAACAAGCTCTTGACCTTTGAAATACTCATCATAACAATTCTCACTAATAACACTAACTGAAGCGCCAGTGTCAACTTCAAAGTTAAGCATTTTGTTTTGAAAGTTTACGTTAATTCTGACAGGTTCAATTTGTAATCTATTAATGTTATTTACTGGTTCAGGGCTAATTTTAAAAAGGTTAGAAACATCGTACACTTCATCCTGGGTTTGATCTGACTCATTAGTACCTACAAAGTTATGTTTCCTAGCGTAATTCCTAGAGTTATTAAAAGGTCTAGTGTTCTTAGGTTTATTATTTGACAAACGTGAGCGACATACCTTAGCCAGGTGGTTTCGCTTACCACAATGGTGACACACACATCCATGGAAACGACACGATCTACTCATGTGGCCTGTTTTGCCACAACAATAACACTGCACTTGGGAATGTCCACTGGTGTTGGGCTGATGTTGATGTTGATGTTGGTGTTGGTTGCGTGTCACGTGACCTGGAGCACCTCGGGCTGTAGTAGTCACGCCATCCTTGGATCCTTCCGGCTTGGTAGTGGACCCATGCCGATTCTGCGCCGCCAACCGCTGCACTCTGCCGCTGTGTGTACCTGCTCCCATCAAACTTGCCGCGTTCCGCTCTGCCGCTTCCGTTGACGTGATGAGTGTAACTGCCTTCTCAAACGTTAGGTTTGACTCCGACAAAAGTTTCTGTTTCGTTGATTCATTGCGAATTCCACTCACAAGTCTGTCTCTTAAATAATCGTTTAGGTTTGTCCCAAACTCACAATGTGTCGACAGCTTTTTTAAATTAGCCACATAGTCCGCAACCGATTCGTGTTCCATTTGATTTCTTAGACTGAACTTATAACGTTCCGCAATAAGGTTGGGTTTAGGATACAAATGTTCTTTTATGAGTTTTACTAGCTCCGCATATGTTTTTGTGTTTGGTTTCGCGGGTGTACACAATTCACGCAGTAATGAATACGTTTTCACCCCAACTACCGTTAGAAATGTGCTGACCTTTTTAGCCTCGTCAACGCCATTGCACGATAAAAATAGTTCAAACCGCTCGATATACGAGTCCCACGATTCAATGTTCACATCGAACTCACCAATATTTCCAATGACCGACATCCTACTTTGTAGTCCTACTTCCTCTTCGAATAATGAAGCTAAATTCAAAGGAAATTTACTGTCACTATCACTCTCCGACATAAATTCAGAAACTCACCCGACCACAGTCCTAGGCCTAGTCCTCAGTTAGCTTAACTTTAACACAAACTACGCACTTTGAACTTAAAAACAAATCGAAACACACGATGTAATGAGGCGTTTTACAAGCCTTAACATTTAATAGTCTATCAAAATTACAGTTAGGCGCTAACAAGCCCTTAAGATTTCCGGTTTAACTTAACACACGGCGCTATCAAGCCGAAGTTCCGAGTTCCGACCATCCACATTTACCTTGCACATTCACTAATTGTCTTCATTCACTAATTTTCCTCGTCGCCACTGATACGTATGGGGTGTGATGATTTAAATAAAAACAACATTTGGGAGTGAAATAAACCCGGCCGACTACATGATTGCGGTTTGCTGGAATCTTGAGGACTGACGAGGAAGGAAACTTTTGGATCGGCGGTTAAATGTGGAGGGAAAAGTGGCGTGATGGGTTGTAGCCAATCCGGGAGCTTTATTGGAAACATACGATTTGACGTCACAGTCGCCTGATCGCAGTCAGGACACAAATGCAAAACATATTGCCAACTCTTTATAACTCAAATCTAAATATTGTAAAAATAGCAACATTATGGTACATTATTGTATACACTAAAATCTTTATATAACGGCAAATATAACATATAATATTCAGGGGCGAGCCTTAAAAGCCTTTTTAGGAACAAAGTTTGCCTGAAGCATATTATTAAATATAAATACAGATATATACTTGGAATAATTATATTATTTACTTTGCTTTTTATAATCTTTTATGTAATGTTTTTGTGTTGTATCTAATTAAATGTTGTCATTCAATATCGTACATTGGGTGACCATCTATAGACTTTTTTTGAAATAGGAAGTTATGTATATGTGAAGTGGTGGGGGAGATATTATGTTGAGGAGGCGCCAAAACTAACTCTCGCATGTTCAGGAAAAACACCTAGCCCCGACTCTGCTATTAGTACCATAGGTCTATTTATTAATTAAGCTATAGTTAATTGAATTAACCTTTCAAAACCTAACTGGACAATTACAAATTTCAGGAGGAATGATTTTGACTTCCCAGATATCCTCAATGATCCGAGAGTGATTGAAATTGCTGAGAGATTAAAACGTACACCAGCTCAAGTACTCCTTAAATTCCTTGTCCAGCAGGAGATTGCTGTGATTCCAAAGAGTGTGAACCCACAAAGAATTATTGAGAACTCTCAGGTAACTTCAATATTTTTTCTTTTGAGAAAACATGAAAAATACCCCTGTGGCAGCAAACCTGCAGACTAAGCGAATTTTCATCTACCTGGCTGGAATTGCACAAAATTATTCCATTAAAATGTTCACATTTATTTCCTATTTAAATATGATTTTAATGAGTTCTTAGGTTTGCTGCTACAGGGATAACAGTGAGGTGTGTTTTATATTGAAATATTGATAGCTTAGTAAACAAATTTTTCAAATTAAAGTTAACTAAAATAGCAAGCTACAACAGTTTATTTATTCTCCATAAGAATAACATGGTAATTTTTACACTTTTTTGGAATTTATTGTAACCATTAGGCACACAACAACGCTTCAATACATTAAATTATTTGTGATCTTTTTTATGTCTACAAATAGGATTGGAAAGAAATTGCAAAATTTTATGTTTTTAGGGTGAAAAATGGAAAATTCCTTTTTTTTACCCCATAAATTTCTGTTCCCATAGTCCGAAAATGCTGCTTCGCGAACTCGATCGAATAAATGTAGGTTTACTTGTTTATACCAAATTTAATCAAAATCGGATCATTTTTATCCGAGTTATCGTGCTAACAGAAACATATATAAATATCTATATACAGTATTAATAGCAAGCATATTTCTTTAAAACCTTTTTCTCAGCTCGTGTGCATTGTAGGGAAAATCTAGGCATACTGTTAGAAACATAATTACCTATAGATGTGCAAAATCCCTTTATAAATTAAAATAGGCTAAAAATTAAAATACCCCCGCCGCAGCAAACCTGCAGACTAAGCCAATTTCCATTTGCCTGATTGGATTTACACTAAAATGCCTCCTTAAAAATATAACATATTCCTTATTTAAATAGAATTATTTTAACAAGTACTTAGGTTTGCTGCAACAGGGATGGTAAAAAAGTGTTTTTTGTTGTAAAATGTTAATAGTTTAGTAAGAAATGAATGTATTTTCCAAATTCGACCAAAACATGTTCATAAACAAGCAAAGTACAACAGTTGACTTATTCTCCATAAGAATAACATGGGAACTTTAAATTTACAATTGTTTTGAAATTTCGGCGCACAATAACGCTTCAATATACAAAATTATTTGTTTTTTTAAGCTCTACAAAATGGTTTTGGAAAGAAATTGTGAAATTTTGGGTTTTTAGTGTCAAAAATTGGAAAAACCTATTTTTACCCCATAAAACCCCTCCATAAACCCCTGTTTCCATAGCCCGATCATGTTGGTTCGCAAACTCGTTCGAATAAATGTAGGCTTACACGTTTATACAAAATTTAATCAAAATCGGATAATTTTTGCTCGAGTTATCGCGCTAATGGACACACATATATATATAAATATATATACATGAATTGGGACGGATGGAGTTTTTGGCCTCTAGGGACCTCAAAACGAAAAAATAAATCGGTCCCGGGTCCAGGTCTTACCATGAGTACTACGGTAAAAGCTTATTCCCTATATGGGAAATTCGCTAAAAAGCACAAAAAATGAATTTGAAACTTAAAAAATTAACATGGGCCTTATGGGTTGCCATGCTGGTGACGAAATAAAAATGAAATATAAACAGAAAATCAAAATACCCTCGCCGCAGCAAACCTGCAGACTGAGCGAATTTCCATTTACCTGGCTGGATTTCTACTAAAATATTCCCTAAAAATTGTCGGATTTATTTCCTATTTAATTAAAATTAATTTTAGTGAGTAATTAGGTTTGCTGCTACAGGGAAGATATTGAGATGTTTTTTTATTGCAATGTCGATAGCTTAGTATTAAATAAACAAAAGTTCCAAATTTGGTTTAAATATAACCATAAATAAGCAAACTACAACAGTTGATTTATTCTCGACTAGCTGGCCCGACAGACATCGTCCTGTCCTAATGTGGTTTTACGTCAATGATCGTTCATTTTCAAGATGAGCTTGTTCGCATGGTTCAATCTTGTCCTGGTTGAAGTTAGTTTGTTACGCTTACTCACCTTTAGGTTGGAACTTGTTCTCTCCCATTTCATGATGGTATGGCCTCTGGATCGTCTGAATTAACGTATAGTGGTTTAAATTACCTTGTTCTGTCCAAAACGATCCTATGTAGTTCGTAGTGACTACAGCTGTTTCGTGCTGCAGGAGCACATCTTCAGGACAGTCGGGACTTGCCCTCAACCGGTGCCGTATCACGTGTTTCGTTACCGCCTGGTCGACCAGTGTTAAATGTTCAGTTTCGTGTTTTTGTGTTTTTATGTTGTGACTATGTTATTTATTTACTACTATAAACTTTTGACGAACTCCATCATGAGGAATATCTAATGACTGCTTGACATTCTCCCGACCTGAAGATGTGCTCCTGCAGCACGAAACAGCTGTAGTCACTACAAACTACATAGGATCGTTTTGGACAGAACAAGGTAATTTAAACCACTATACGTTGTTCTCTCCGCTCACTTGCCTTCAGGTTAGCTCGTTCGCTACGCTAACTCGCCTCCATTGTCATAGATTAAAAAAAAAATTATAGTGCTGCACCCTGTTGGTAAACTAGTATATATATGGTAAGCTAGTATATATACATACTGACACATTTACTTGGAAACTCAGATCTAATTTTCTCTGCTCAATAAAATAATCACTTACTAAAACAAATTAAAGTAACCTTTAACTTCTCCCCCCTCTCCTTCACAAAAAACTCATAAAAAACACTCTAACAAACTATCTCTAAGTCTTTACGCCTCAAAAAATCCAACTAAAATTACATAAAACTAGTGGCTTTTAGGGGCAATAGCCCCTATATATATATATTATATATCCTGTCTCATGGGTTGAACCTTGAACCATTGGGTTAATCTCCATTGAGTCAACTTGAATTATCGTTTAACATTTTTGTATATTATAATATGTATAATAATTATTGCATACCTGCATAATGCATTTTTTGTCTGCTCTGTTTAAAATAAAAGTTCCAAAAGACTGTTCATGCGGTATTATAAAAACTTTCTAATCATAAAATACAACTAAGGAACATTTTCAATTATAATCTTCATGACAATTAATCAAATATATATAAATCTCTTTGAATATAGACAAATTCACTTAGATTAAACACATAGAGATAATGTCATCCTCCAGATTGTAAAATGCTAATTACAATGACAGAAAAAAAGGTATTTTCTATTTGGTTTATAACAAAATCTCTCTGAAAACAACATTTGTTGTATGGTATCCATTTTGGTCGATTCCTTCGTCTTTATTTGATTCTAGTACTATTTTAACATCATCTGGCCGCTTTACCTGGCTAAAAGCAACATAAAGTTGACCATGGGTGAACACTGTTTTTTTTTCTTCAAAAAAAAATTCCAAGTTTTGTTAAGGTTTGGCCTTATCCGTTGCTTTAATAATAAGTAAGTACCTGGAGACCGAGCTTTGCTCGGGGAAAATCATTCCCCCACTTTGCGATTCCAGCCTTTACTACTTCCTTCACCATTTCCTACGTCATTGTTTCCCTCCCTTCTCATAGCATTTAAGTATTAGAGATGCATTAATCTAACTGCCACAAACGGTTCCTACACTCTGCGATGCTAAACTTTACTACTTCCTACGTCGTGGACATGTTGTCATCTCTTTCCATAGCATTTTAGCATTTTAAATACATTAATCTAATTGCCAACAACATTTCCCACACTCCGCACTGCTAGCATTTACTAATTCCTATCTCTTGGACATCTTTCCATCCCATCTCATAGCATTTCAGTATTTCACTTTCAGATACAGAAATCAAACTGTTACAATTGGTTTCCAGTTCCCAGACTCTACAGTGCTCGCCTTTACTACTTCATTCACCTCTTCCTACATCGCGGACCTGTTTTCCTCCCTTCCCATTGCATTTTAAGATTGCAGATACCTTAATCTAATCCTTATAAACAGTTCCCACACTCCGGACTGCTCGCCTTGACTACTTCCTTTACCACTTCCTACGTTTCGGACCTGTTTTCCTACCTTCCCATAGCATTTTAAGATTGTAAATACCTTAATCTAATCGTCGTTAACAGTTCCCACACTCCGGACTACTCGCCTTTACTACTTCCTTCGCCACTTCCTACGCCGCGGACCTATTTCCCTCCCTTCCCATAGCATTTTAAGATTGTGGATACCTTAATCTAATTGTCATAAACAGTTCCCACACTCCGGACCGCTCACCTTTACTGCTTCCATCACGACTTCCTACGTCACGGACCTGTTTCCCTCCCTTCCCACAGCATTTTAGGATAACAGATACCTTAATCTAATCGTCATAAACAGTTCCCACACTCCGGACTACCTACTCACCTTTACTACATCCTTCACCGCTTCCTTCGTCACGGACCATGTTTCCCTCCCAGCCCATAGCATTTTAGGATAACAGATACCTTAATCTAATCGTCATTAATAGTTCCCAAACTCCAGACTACTCGCCTTTACTACTTCCTTCACCACTTTCTACGCCGCGGACCTGTTTTCCTCCCTTCCCATAGCATTTTAGGATTGTAGATACCTTAATCTAATCGTCATAAACATTTCCCACACTCCAGACTACTTACCTTTACTACTTCCTTCACCATTTCCTACGTCGCGGACCTGTTTCCCTCCCTTCCCATAGCATTTTAGGATTGTAGATACCTTAATCTAATCATCATAAACAGTTACCACACTCCGGACTACCTACTCACCTTTACTACTTCCTTCACCATTTCCTACGTCGCGGACCTGTTTCCCTCCCTTCCCATAGCATTTTAGGATTGTAGATACCTTAATCTAATCGTCATAAACAGTTACCACACTCCGGACTACTATTTACCACAAAACTAATAACAACAATTAAACGAAATAATCTGCTTGGAATAATTCAGTAAGGCCACCAGAAATTATGCGAATCTGTGTATTGTTAATCAATGCTTAATGGTATTCATCGGACTCCTTTTCTTTTGTGTTGTCTTTTGTAAATAGGCCATATGTG